TAAATATATTAATTATTATTTGATTTTCATAGAGGGTGCTTTTTGTGTATGGGAAATGTCTGAAATAAAAGAAATATTGGGGGATAAAAATTCAGATATTTTTTGTTGGCATTACGACGTAAAATCGGATGGCAATGTTGACCCCAATAAAGATATCCAAGGAGAGTTGAAGCTTAAGGTAAATAAGATTTTTTATACATGTTTTATTTTTATGTTTTATTTTTATGTATTTGATTATAAACTGATTTACATCTTGATAGAATGTCTTAATTGAACGACACACATTAGAAAAGACGGCAGAACATTTCGATATTACGTTAGATCAGCTTGTAGAGATTCTTTCAGAATCACGGCAGAAACTTGCAAAGTATCGTTCTGAAAAGAGGCCTAAACCACATCGTGACGATAAAATTTTGGCAGCATGGAATGGTTCGTTGGTTCATTATGATATATTAAATTATTATCTTATGCTTGATCCTTGACAATATCTTTAACTTTTTTATCATGCATATTTTTACAGGTTTAATGATTTCTGGTCTTGCTAAAGCTTATGATGCACTTCGTGATAAAAAATTTTTGGATCTTGCAGAAGGTGCAGCAAAATTTTTGAAAGAAAAAATGTATATACCTGAGAAGAATGTTTTGTTAAGAAGTTTTAGAGAAGGTGCCAGTGATGTTGAAGGGTTTGCTGACGATTACAGGTGAGTTATAATGTTTTTTTCTTCAATTTGTCAATATTAGTATTATTATCTCGATTTTTAATTTAAGGCTGGTTTGTCGCTATTTAGTTACTTGATCGATGGTAAATTTATTAATTATTTAGATTCATATATAATTTAAAGATATTTTCTCATATATACCTATCTACGCAATTTTATTTTACATCAGGATTGCTATGCCTTTATCAATCTTCCTTTAACGAATCATATCTTACATGGGCCATTGATTTGCAAGATAAGCAAAATCAATTATTTTATGATGGAGAGTCTGGTGCATATTTTAATGTTAAAGAGGGTGCCCGTGATATATTGTTGAGACTGAAAGATGGTAAGTTTTTTCAACTTTATTTTACGTGTTGTTTATCTTCTTATAAAGTATTAATTTACGCGTTCGTTTTTGTGTAACTGAAGATTACGATGGCGCAGAACCTTCCTCAAATTCTGTTTCAGTTAGCAATTTAATTTTGCTTGGTAACATAATCAATAACCCTGATTACATTTCTAAAGCTGAAAAGACATTGGAATATTTTGCGGGAAGATTAAATTCAATTCCATATTCAATGTGTACAATGGCCGCTAGTTTGATGTTACAAATGAAAGGCACTAAACAGGTATTTGACGCGTTGAAGTTATAATATACTTCTGAGTTGTATCTTATATATTCATATTTACAGATAATGGTTGTTGGACGAGAACAAAATCCGATCGTTCAGAAATTTATTGAGGTCATTCGTGATCGATTTATCCCTAATAAGGTTTTACTTTTAGTAAGACCCGAAAACAAACTTTTAATGGAAAAAAATGAATTGGTAAAAACTATAGTACAAAATGAATTTACTGATTTCTCAAAGATAGAAACAGAAGATAAAGCTCCATCGGTGCATATATGTGAAAACTTCACTTGTGGTATGCCAATCAGTAACGTCGAAGATTTACAGGATAAATTGAAATAGTTGCTCTTTCATATTTATTTTTATGTTATATAAGCGTCAAATTTTTATGCATCACTTGCTTCATTTTATTGTACTGTACAAATTATCTTTCAATAAAGTAATTTTTATTAAAAAGGCTTAAAATATTTAAAGTTCAAATATTTGATCAAATCAGATATTTAAATATTTGATTGTTTAGAAGTGCTAATACCGAGTTTACAAGAATCAAATACAAAATACCCAATAAAAAAACTTGATCGATAACGGGGATTTGTATCAGGGTATTATTGTACAGGCCAACGTTTAAAATTCAATCTTAAATTTGTTGCGAGCCCACAACTTACATATAAGCGAAATTATTCCTTAACCACCGTCTAGCAAATATGCCTGCGAAAATAATTATCTTAATCAAACCCCGTCAGATATTTCTTTTATTTCAGACATTTCCCATACACAAAAAGCACCCTCTATGAAAATCAAATAATAATTAATATATTTA